ACCCGACTGCAAGGATTTGCTGAAGCCCTAGGCTATACAAAATCAATAGCCCAATAACATTTTAGATTATACCTGCTGGCCAAAGAAAGTGCAAAGCCGGCAAGAGTTTAAGGCCGTAAGCTGTATTTTAGTTAGCTTAAGTTTAGGTCCAGTCCTGCGCAGGGGCAGGAAACATCAATGTTTTGCCTTGAAATCATGGTTTCTCTGATAACGCATTCAAATTTAGTTATGGAAAAATATACAACCCCCTTAAAAGCAGAGTACTTCGTATCAATCCTATATAAAATGTGATATCCAGCAATGAAGGTGGGTTTGAAAATTGTGCAAAACATGCATGGAAGTGACGCACTCTATACGAATCCCAAATAGTGCTCACAATGGCACATTTTCTTCACGCCCCTAAACGATATCAATGTTCTAATTACCCATATGCTTTTAATCCGCAGATTTATTTCACAAATCAACTTTTTTTTTTTTTTTTTTTTTTTTTTTTTTTTTTTTTTTATTCTTTTGTTTTTATTTTCTTTTTTTTTTTTTTTTTTTTTTTTTTTTTTTTTTTTTTTTTTTTTTTTTTTTTTTTTTTTTTTAAATAAAATATTACTCATCGAACGATATTGCAATATTTAAAATAATGAATCTCATTTCAGGCAGTTTTCATAAATGTTATTTTATCTCCGCTTTGAAAAACATATAAAAAAAAACTTTTCGAATGTTTGGGGGATGGCGCTGAAATATTGATAGAATGCAGAGTTATTGGCAACGGGTCAATGCTCCAAGTTTCTGCTCGATGGGTTGACGGAAAGTGGGTCATATAACCGTCCGAAAATTTTGCCAGCCAGCCAGCTAGCTAGCCACCCACTAACAAAAGCGAAGTTAACGGATTTATAAAGAAACTATTTTGCATTTTCGGTATGGCTTTATTTTAGAAACTTTGTCTTGCAAAGAGAATCCTCTTGTATTGCAATATAGAACGTATGTACTTCAACATATAACGCGTATGTTGCAAAGAATACCACTTGTATTTTGAAATATGCCTATAATGTTATAGATAAACCGATTATATTGCAAGGAAAATAGCATATTCGAAAACGTGTCTCTCGTATTTGGACATAGTAATATTCCTTACCATCTAATTGAAGTATTTGACAAGAGATAACATATAAATGTTTCCCTAAGACCATGGGAATCCTATGTGAGAAAAGTTTAAAAGTTACAAAGACGTTAACACAAAGCGCGTTGAAACTTACATTGCGAAGGCAAGAATTTTGAACAGATGAACAATGGAAACATGGTCTGGAAATAACACAACTTGTGCTGTAACAAGTAGGTCGAATAGTTTGCCCTGTAATAACAAACGATCAATTATAGCTTTTGCTATCAATTGAGTTTATCAAAGTGTGAATTATTATATACTAGGGCTTAACCAGGGGCAATTCTTTCTTCACTGGGTCCGGGTATTTTAAGAAAAAATCCGGTGGGTCCAGGTGTTACCAAAAAAAAATAAATAATAATAATAATTAACTATCTATTTTCTATAATATATGCCTGTATTTAAACAATAGTCCTACAGACAGCTCTACACCCTAACTACAGGTTATTAAACAATAGTCCTACAGACAGCTCTACACCCTAACTACAGGTTTTTAAACAATAGTCCTACAGACAGCCCTACGCTCGAACTGCCGGTCTTTAAACAATAGTCCTAAAGACAGCCCTACACCCTAACTGCCGGTCTTTAAACAATAGTCCTACAGACAGCCCTACAACCTAACTGCTGGTCTTTAAACAATAGTCCTACAGACAGCCCTACGCCCTATCTGCCGGTCTTTAAACAATAGTCCTACAGACAGCCCTACACCCTAACTGCCGGTCTTTAAACAATAGTTCTACAAACAGCACTACGCCCTAATTGCCGGTCTTTAAACAGTAGTCCTACAGACAGTCCTACACCCTAGCTGCAAGCCTGTAAACAATAGTCCTACAGACAGCCCTACACACTAACTGCCGGTCTTTAAACAATAGTCCTAAAGACAGCCCTACACCCTAAGTACCGGTCTTTAAACAATAGTCCTACAGACAGCCCTACACCCTAACTGCTGGTCTTTAAACAATAGTCCTACAGACAGCCCTACGCCCTAACTGCTGGTCTTTAAACAATAGTCCTACAGACAGCCCTACACCCTAACTGCCGGTCTTTAAACAATAGTCCTACAGACAGCCCTACACGCTAACTGCTGGTCTTTAAACAATAGTCCTGCAGACAGCCCTACGCCCTAACTGCCGGTCTTTAAACAATAGTCCTACAGACAGCCCTACACCCTAACTGCCGGTCTTTAAACAATAGTCCTACAGACAGCCCTACGCCCTAACTGCCGGTCTTTAAACAATAGTCCTACAGACAGTCCTACACCCTAGCTGCATGCCTGTAAACAATAGTCCTACAGACAGCCCTACACCCTAACTGCTGGTCTTTAAACAATAATCCTACAGACAGCCCTACACACTAACTGCCGGTCTTTAAACAATAGTCCTAAAGACAGCCCTACACCCTAACTGCCGGTCTTTAAACAATAGTCCTACAGACAGCCCTACGACCTAACTGCCAGTCTTTAAGCAATAGTCCTACAGACAGCCCTACAGATAGCTCTACAGACAGTCCTACAGTCAGTCCTACGCCATACCGTGGCTTTTGTTGTTTAATGTAATAGTCGCATCCCAAGACATTAGTCCTTGTTACCTCTGTTTAACCGTAACGCACGACGCTCGCTGCTGGATAGCTTTTTCTTTTACCTAGTACTATTGATATAAAACATGTTTACTGGGAAAGGGGGGGGGGGGTGGTTGCATTACGGCAGCAGTCACACAA